TCTGGGCAGTTTCACAAAGTCCAATAAAATTACACATAAACAAATCAAACACAATTTCACTCAATAGCATCACGATTTGAAATACTTAAGCATGAAGTGATTTCTTATGACATGACCCCCAGATATTTGTTGCAGTTTTGTTCCCAAGCTCAAAATGTAAGGTACTAAGTATCTGCCCAAACAAATTGGGGCTGTTGATTTCTAGTTTTTCTCTAGCGGTTAAAGCTCATTTAAAATGACTTATTGAGTCTAGAAATTCTTTTACTTGTAGTGGTATCTTGCCTGCCTCATTTTTTTCCTGATCAACTTTCTCAGGATTCTCAATAAAGAGGCAAAAGAGAAAAGACTCAAGATACTGATCTTTTCTGTTGGTGCAGATGGGTGACTTAGTGCATCGATTCAGGTACTCTTGACTTTCTTGGTATGTTACTGTCAAATGCTGACAAGAACTTTAGGTCTTGAAAGACTCATAAGTCTACAATAAACCTTGCTTTAGGGGTAGAGTAAAAGAACAAGTGGCATCTGAAGTTTCTATACCCAAGGTAACCTGTGAGATGAGATCTGCTAGTTGACATATGGCGTCATATGTTGATAACAGAATTAAGGACGTGTTAGGAATACCCCACCACTCAGAGGGCAACTATCCGTATTCCAGACTCTGAGCTCTTTCCTTTTTAAAAACATGTAGACAATTAGCTGCTTGAAGTGAGTGTGAAATAGTTCAGAAAGTGTGGATTTCATGTATTTAAGCTCCTCTCCAGTTGCTGTCAGTTTTTCTTCTGCTGCCAACCTGTGACTCACAAACAACTAGGATCTCTTGTTCTTTCATTTCAGGGGCTGTTCTGGGACTCAAATCAGTAACTTGATTATTACAAGGTGCTGAATATGTTGGTAACCACATCGTAATACACCTCAAGGAGAACGTTCAGATTTTTATTTTTTAAAATATTTTCATTTTCTTCTCTTTTGAATTTTATATCCATTTATCCACTCAGACATGCCTAGCCTACAGAAGGGGATATATATTATGAAATGGGCATTTTTCTGAAGAGAATATTTTGCTTGAAATGCAAAGGACTGAAAGATTTGTAGGTTGTTGATTTTGTTACTTCATACTGGAACTTTTAAGAAGTTTTCATCAATAAAGTTTTGCTTTCTACTTTTAATCATGAGAATGTTTTGAACCTTTGTTTTAAGGAGTACCCTTATAATCTTGTTTGAAGTACATGACAATTTGTCAATTCTGTGTTAAGTAGTATAAGAAACATCTTCTATCTGACTTTTATAATCAGTGAGACAATATGCATATATCTATAATTTTAGATTTTTGTTAAGACTTTATAAGAGGAAATAGAAAACTTAATTCTTTAGCTTGAACCAAATTAAACTGTAATTTTTGTAGGTCAGATATGGTTGAATATCAGCAATTGCATATAGTTCAGCCAAATATTTCAGAGAAGAGATTGGTAAAGAAAGGAGATGAATGCAACATAAAATAGAGAATATAGTGACATCTAGGAAAAGAGGATGAGTTTATACGTATTGCTTATTGGCATAGTCAACTTTTATAAATGTCTTAATATATCCAATCACTTAATAACTTGGCTTACAAGTTTGGCAGTTATCAAGAGCACACCGAGACTTACAGGGACTGCTTTTCCAGAATGTGTAAGCAAGTGACTGCACCTTTCTCTTTCAAGATTAGTAACATTCCTGTCATATTTAATTTCTTGGTCAATTTTTCTCAGAAGTCTCCATAGAAGCAACAAAAGTTCATATTACCGGCTCTCCACTAACTAGCTGTATCACCTTGGGCGAGTTGAGATTATTTTTCCTGTGCATATTTCCTCATTGGTAAAAGGGAGATAATAGTATCTATTTTATGAATTGTTTTGAAGAATAAATAAGTTAATACATGTAAAGTGTTTAGAACAGTGCTTTGTAGATAGGAATTGCTCTTTAAGTGCTTACTATTATTATTGGCCTAAACGATGTGTATTTTCCTGTCTGAATCTTGATGGAGAGCCCTTTAAACAGCATCTAAAGGAACCAATTTCTTACAAATCAAATGTACACTCCTTAGTTGCTGTTCCTTAAAAAAATATTTTGTATTCAAGAAATGTTGCTCTGGTTTTACAAGCACTTGTAGTACTGAAATGTTCACATTGGCTATTTGTTTTTACCCAGCTCTCAGGTGGTAAAAAATGATCAAATCCTGAAACTGTTACTTTTCCCGCTACTAAGCCCCATCATCAAGCCAAACTGGTGCAGCAGCTATAATACTTCCCAACTTGCCTTCTCCCAGACACTGGAGGGGCTCAGGCAAGGTGATCTACAATCCAGTCACACTCTGTATTTCAATTTTACCCACAGAGTTTTTCCCCCTCGTTCACTCAACAAACTAATTTGAGCACCATTACCCACTAGGTGTTTAATGTTAAGTCACTGATCTCAGAGCAACCACAAAAGAAGTGGCATCTCCATTTTATTCAGATTCTCAATGGTGAAGAAACTTGCCTAGGATCCTAGGATGTCTCAGTTTGCTAGGGCTGCCATAACGAAATACCAGATTGGTGGTTTAAACAACACATTTATTTTCTCATAGCTCCAGAGGATAGAAGTCCAAGATCAAGGTGTTGACAGGTTTGGTTTCTCTTGAATTCTCCTTGGCTTGCAGCTGGCCCCCTTCTCCCTGTGTCCTCGCATGGTTTTTCCTCTGTGCAATCATCCTTAGTGTCTGGGTGTCCAAATTCCCTCTTATAAGGACATCAGTCAGATTGATTAACTCACCCTAATGGCGTCTTTTTAACTTAACTTTGAAACGGCCCTATCTCCAAACAGTTACATTCTGAGGTATTGGGGATTAGGGCTTCAACATATGAACTTTGGAAGGGGACACAATTCAGCCCATAACTCAGGGTTATGACATGGCTCAGATGGGATCTGAACTAACATCTGCCTGGCTTGAGGAAATTCTCTTTCAACAGGGTGCAAGGTGCCCTGCAGAGATTTAGACTTGACGCTGGCAAAGTGGTCATTTAGGCAATATTTATAGGATTCCTGCTAAATATCAGGAATGGGGTATGTAAGTCAACAAAATAGTTCTTGATTTCAATAAGTTTACAGTCTACTGTAAACTACTGGAGGCGGGGAGACAAAAATTGAACAGGCGATTATATTAATTCCGGCAAAATACATTTTGGAACAACAGTTCTGGGGATTACTTTACACACTGAGGAAATGAAAATAAGTACTTTGTCAGGATTATCCCTGACAGAAAATTAGTTGTGACTAGGTCAAGTAAACTTGGCTACTGGGAACCCATCTGTTTGGGCAAGAACATAGCTTTGCTAAAAACTGATTTCTAATCAATCTTTTCACTGATTTTGAATCTAGTTTCAGTAGTCCAAATTTGAACCAATATGTACGATAAGGCTATCACTTATTAACTCCGAGTGGTAAGTACTTTGCAAACATTACCTCTGATCCTTGCTTAAAACCGTCTGCAAGATTGGCTTTATGCCCGCTCAGTTTACAGATGAAGAGACGAACTCTGAACAAATGCGACTTGAACAACGATAAACATCATAACGTAGCTCGGTCGGGGTGTGAATCTCAGCCCGAGGGTCCGAGCCACCGTCTACCCAGGTGCTAATCTGGCAATTAGTTTCTTGTTACTTCTGACCTACATGCCGTGGATTCCTAAATTTTACAGGCCGGAGAAGACTATATTTCAAGGGTTAAGATTTTAAATCGTGTTACCACAGGTTACCGGACAAATAAATACTAATTACAAACACCAACCAAAGGGTCCATCTTTCACATGTAAAACAATATTTAGTATTAAGAGTTTTCACAAGTGGCGGCTCAGTGGGAAGAAACTGATACCGGTAAAGCACCTAGAAAACCGCAACCTCTGAAGGCAGACGCTTTGCGGATGGTTTCAACATTTAACAGCAACAAGTTGCCAGTGTGGAAGAAGCAGGGCGCCGACACAATACAAACACGAAGACCGAACCACCCCCTCACTTCCGGAGTGTAACGGCGCAGCGGATATACATCAGCGTGGGGAGGCGGGACTTCCGCCCTGCGCGATGCATTAAACGGAAACCGGGCGGCTCCATTTCGTGTGAGTTTACGGCCCCCCTAGAGGAGACAGGGGTTGCCTGAGGGACGTCTTTTGGCTGTTTATCTCGCCTGAGCTGTCCCCTCACCCTGGTCATCTGTTAGGAGTGCAGAAGTTTGGGCCAAAGCGCTGGGCGAGACGAGGACCTGCTCCTCTGTGCCTCCGACTTTCTCTGGGCCCGTCTTTCTAACGCGAGGCCGTGTCAGGTTCTGGGAAGTGCGGTTTTCGCCGGGGCCGGTTTTCCCTGGAAAGCTGTGCGCTCCTCGTTGTTTTCCGTCTTCTTCGGGTGGGAGCTTGGGGAGTTCTTCTCGGGGTCCGGGGCGTTGGTGCAGCCCCTCGTGGAAGACTTGGAGTGAAAGGTCTCCCGCGATCCCGCCTGCGAGACGCGCTCCGAGGGCACACCTCGTTCATGGGAGTCCAGGGGCTCTGGAAGCTGCTGGAGTGCTCCGGGCGGCAGGTCAACCCGGAGACGTTGGAGGGGAAGGTCCTTGCCGTGGGTATCCTTTTCCGGGTGTCGGTGCCAGGGATGCACGATGGGTGCCAGGATTTTGCTCTCAGGTTCTCCAGGGGGCGCAGAGGGGCGTTGTTAGGTCTCACCCAGGCGGGTAGCTATAGGGTCTTCTTTGGGATGTTTCCTTTCTTTTCTTTTCTTTTTAAAATTAATTTTTATTGGAGTAGAGTTGATTTACAATGTTGTGTTAGTTTCTGCTGTATAGTAAAGTGAATCAGTTATATATATATATATACACACATACATATATCTACTCTGTTTTAGATTCTTTCCCGTATAGGTCATTACAGTGTATTGAGTAGCGTTCCCTGTGCTCTACAGTAGGTCCTTATTAGTTATCTATTTTATATGTAGTAGTGTGTATATGTCAATCCCAATCTCCCAGTTCTGGCTTTGCAGTCGCACAGCTTTGGATTGGAGTCTTGTTTTAATCACTTAGGGGTGGTGCTTTGTGCCTGTGTATGCGTCAGTTCTCTCATCCATCAGTTCTCTCATCCGGGAAGTGGAGGTGATAATAGTCTTTGCACACAGGGTTGGTGTGAGGAATGAAGGGCTTATTTAAATGAAAGAAGCTTAGAATAGTGACTGTCGCTGCTAGTATGGTAAATTCTAAATCTGTTATCCCGACAGGGAGGTCAGCATGGAGAAAACGAAGTGGACTTCGGACCAGTAGTTTTGCCTGCTGTCCTGAGTCTTGCTTTATTTATGTTTGTTAGAGGAAGAAAAGTGTGGGCAAGTGTTTGACCTTTTTTTTTTTTTAAAAAAGTAACTTTTATTATCTTTTGTTATGTATTTTGGAATAGGAAATTCATATAGTACAACACTGAAAAGATTTCAAAAGGTCTACAGTGAATTATTTTCTTCCCAGCCTCTATGATGGACATTTTAAGGACTGTTGATGGTGTGCATGTTTGGCTGGTTTTGTTTGTGCCTTTGGAGTTTAATGTTTTTCTTCATTACCAAAACATGTGAAGGCTGTTTCTGACATTTTGATCTTTTTATTCATTAAGCAGTCTTCATTTTCTTTTTCTTTTCTTTCTTTTTCTGAGTGTCTGTTGTGTTCCAGAAGCTGGTGGTACCTTACACCAGTTCCCTAAGTGGGAACCTATGAGCCTAGGATCTCCACTCGGAGTGGAGGAGACAGTCATGTAATAATTGCTGTCCCGTGGTAAATGCACTGTCAGAGGATGTGGGGATTCAGTGAAAGGAGCCATTGCCTTTCGTATAGAGACAACTTATACATAATGGAGCATTGATAATTTTTTAAATAAAGTAACATGATGATGATGATTGTGTTTTTTTTGCAATGTGTGTCATCTTGAAATACATCCGTAATGAATTGTGGCTTAAAAGTTTTATGCCGGGTAGCTTGTGGGAAAGTTTTTTTAAAGCACACGTGCTATTGCTGCCCTCTAGTGGTTTCTCAAATTACTGCTTTCTGAAGATTTTCTTCATAGAACTATCAATATATGTTGTACATGTGAATGAAAGCATTTTTCAGTGTCAGGAACACTTAAGACTTCAGCAAAGATTTAGATCAGTTTACGTTGCAGCCCGTATGAAGAATTAATAATTTGTAAAACAATTGAGATGTGATGTGAAGTTCAGCATTCTGATTTTTTAGAAAGTTGTCCAAAATAAATGTAAAGAATTTAATTTAGATCATCTATTTTCAGATGACTCAGAAACTTTTTTGGGACATGAAGTCATATTCATGGGGCTATTAGGCTTTTCTGAAAGAATGAATTATTAAAAGAAGACTGTCAAAGGTAATGTAGTTATAATGGTAACTTCATATATATATATATGCATATATAATACGTATATGTAAAAGGAGACTAGTTGGTTGCTGTTCTCTAATTGATTTTGCTTTGTTTCATTTTCATGGGAGTTCCAAGTCAAATATCTGAAATATATTCAGGTTTTTTGGTTTTATTTGTTAATAAAATTACTCATGACATACAAGTTTCATAATTTATTCTTGGATCCCTAAAATAATTTGGTCTTTTTACCATTTCTAGATGAGTGTCTTGTTTACTTATGCAATCTAAGTGTTTGTGTCAAATAATAAAGAATTAATAATTAAACTTTTGTCTCTTATGGACCTTAACATTTGTAAAATACATTTAACTCTATTAACAAAATCTTACAGTCTCTTTAGGCTTTGCATACTGATAGGGGTTAATTAAATTTTACATCGCCTAACAATAGAACTAAAGTAATTTATTTTTTGTTTCAAAATGTTACTGGTCTTTTGGGTCTCATCTATAAAATGGTTTTTGGCTTGGCTGCACATTTAACTTTTCCAGTCCTAGGATAAATTTAATGTTGCCTTTTATAAACTTATTGAAATTAGACAAATTAAATTATGGAAATATTTTCAGCTTGCCTAATTCTGCATATTTCTTTTTTAAGAATTTCAAGCTGCGGGAATTCCCTGGCGGACTAGTGGTTAGGACTCTGCGCTTTCACTGCAGAGGGCGAGGGTTCAATCCCTGGTCGGGGAACTAAGATCCCACACGCTGCACTGCACGTCCAAAAATAAATAAAATTTAAAAAAAATTTTTTAATAGTATATCTTTATTGGAGTATAATTGCTTCACAATACCGTGTTAGTTTCTGTTGCACAACAAAGCAAATCAGCCATTTGCATACACATGCCCCCGTATCCCCTCCCTCTTGCGTCTCCCTCCCACCTTCCCTATCCCACCCCTCTAGGTCATCACAAAGCACAGAGCCGATCTCCCTGTGCTGTGCTGCTGCTTCCCACCAGCCAACTGTTTTGCATTTGGTAGTGTATATATGTCGATGCTATTCTCATTTTGCCCCAAATTCGCCCTCCCACCCCATGTCTTCAAGTCCATTTTCTATGTCTACCTCTTTATTCCTGCCCTGAAACTGGATTCATCAGTACCATTTTTTTTTTTTTAAGATTCCATGTCAGCATACGGTATTTGTGTTTATCTTTCTGACTTACTTCACTCTGTATGACAGACTTTAGGTCCATCCACCTCACTACAAATAAGTCTATTTCATTTCTTTTTATGGCTGAGTAATATTCCATTGTATATATGTGCTACATCTTCTTTATCCATTCATCTGTCGATGGACACTTAGGTTGCTTCCATGTCCTGGCTATTGTAAATAGAGCTGCAATGAACATTATGGTACATGACTCCTCTTGAATTATGGTTTTCTCAGGGTATATGCCCAGTCGTGGGATTGCTGGGTCATACAGTAGTTCTATTTTTAGTTTTTGAAGGAAACTTCATACTGTTTTCCATAGTGGTTGTGTCAATGCACATTTCTACCAACAGTGTAGAAGGGTTCCCTTTTCACCACACCCTCTCCAGCATTTATTGTTTGTAGATTTTTTGATAATGGCCATTCTGACCGGTGTGAGGTTATACCTCATTGTAGTTTTGATTTTCATTTCTCTAATAATTAGTGTTGTTGAGCATCTTTTCATGTGCCTCCTCGCCATCTGTAGGTCTTCCTTGATGAAATGTCTATTTAGGTCTTCTGCCCATTTTTTAACTGGATTGTTTGTTTCTTTGATATTGAGCTCCATGAGCTGTTTGTATATTTTGGAGATTAATCCTTTGTTGTTCCATTTGCAAATATTTTCTCCTATTCTGAGGGTTTTCTTTTTGTCTTGTTTATGGTTTCCTTTGCTGTGCAAATCTTTTAAGTCCCATTTGTTTATATTTGTTTTTATTTCCATTACTCTAGGAGGTGGGTCAAAAAAGATCTTGCTGTGGTTTATGTCAAAGAGTGTAAAAAAAAAAAAGAGAATTTTAAGCTGGAACGCTCAACCTGGCTGAGAATTGGCACTACCTGTGATTAATTAAAAAAAAAAAAGTCCGATCTCAATCTCTATGATTTAGAATTTTAGGTGTACCTATGTTTAGCAATCTGTGTTTCAAAAGCTTCATATCTGGTTCCAAAGGACAGCAGAGTTGAGAGCTACTGATCTGAAATTATATTTTTCTCATTGATTATAGCATTTAAAGGAATGGGCTAAGTAGAAACTTACTCCATCTGATACAATGGTGTAGCAACCAGAAACAAGCCAATTAGAAATATTTACCCAATAACAACACCATTGACCCAGTACAGAGCTAAGCCAATGCCAGATCCTACTTCCAGGATGGATCCTTTTCTGACCACTTCTCATCATCCTCGCCACTGCGTTCTGCTTTCCCTCGGGCTGTTGTAACTAGTTTAAAGCTGGCTTCCTTATAGTTTATTCCTCACATGTCCACTGGGGTGATCCTTCAGTCACATTCTAGAAACCTTCCAGTGACTATATACACCCATCACTTCCTCTTACTGCTCCTCTGGCCGTGCACCTGCCATGTTGTCCTTAAACGGAAGCCTGCTTCTGTCCCAGGGCGTTTGCATTTGCTGAACCTCCTGCCCCACTGTTTTCTCCCTCGTTCCTCTTCGTTCGTTCAGGCCTCCGTTACTTCTTCCGATAGGACTTCCCTAACTAAAGAGCTATTGACCACCAATCACACTTTTGTCCTTTTACTCTGCTCTATTTCTTTCTTGGCACTTACCAGCAACCTAATGTATTAGACGTCTGTACTTGATTTTCATTGTTTTCCCCATTAGAATGCAAGTTTCTCAGGGGTAGGGGCCCTATCTGTTTTTTTCATAGCTGTATTGTTCACTGTTCTATCCCTAGGATCTTGGATATACCTGGCACCTAGTAACCCTCAAATATAGGAATGAATCTAGTAATAACTTGCTCTCCACTAGTTATTTTTTATGTAATGTTTATTAAGTTAATTGTTGATGGGCCTAATTTTTTATGGTAGTAAGTAGGTAATGTACATTCATTTAAATATTTAACCGTTCATCTCATTTGAAAGCAGGTCTTTGTTGCCTCCTGTGTGCTCTGAGAGGGAGAGCAGTGCCCAGCATTGTGGTTTACACATGTCATGGAGCTCACAGTCTGGATTCCCCCCGCACTGGTTGTAAACTCCATTAGGGCAAACGCTTTGTTTTGTCCAGTACTGTATCCCCAGTGCATAGAAACATTTCTGCCATGAAATAAGCAAGGTGTTTTTGAATAGGAGTGTGTAACTGGAGGTCTTAATCTCGGCTGAGGGCGTGACCCCTAGACTGAGACCTAAGGGTAGGGAATCTCTAGGCTCAGAGAGGGAGGGGCTCTTTCAGGCTGAGGAAGGAGCAAGGAGGAGACCCTGGAGGCAGAAAGGAGCTTAGTGACTTCCAGGGTTTGAGAGAAGCCCAGTGGCTCGACATGAGCCAGGAGAGGTGAACAGAGGACAGATCATTCAGGATTCGTAGGCCGTGGGAAGGACTTTTGGATATTATTCTAAAGGCAGTGGGAGCTTTCCACTGTAGTTTTCACTACAGGTCTGTCGGTGAAATCTAACATAACAGTTTCAAGATAGATAAAAAGGTAGAACTGATAGGACCTGGCAATGGCTGGGTGGAGGCGTACGTGGGATGGCGCTCAGGGTTCTGGCTTGGGTGGATGGGAGTGACATCCACTGAAATGGGGGCGTGAGTAGCCTGCTGAGAAGGCACGGAGTGCAGTTTTGATCGTGGTAAGTCTGAAGCGGCTGAGGCATCAGGTAGAGATGTCAACGAGGCCATCAGACCTGGGGTTGGGAGAGCGCTCAGGGGCAGACGCGCGTGTGTGGAGCTCGGTGCTCTATGGGCTGTGGTATGGGGGGCGGACGTCACCTGGGTAGCCAGTGCAGACAGGAGGAAAGGGGAGGGCCTGCAGGCCATCACTGCCGAAGTCAGCACTTTAATGGTGGGTCGGGGGAGCGGGCAGAGGGCTGTGTCCCTCTCTTATGAACAAATAGAAAACAATCTGTTAAAAAGCATTCTTTAGTAAAGTTTAAAAATATAAGAAGACTCCAAGAAGGAAAAATTAGATAATCACAGCAGAAGACAACTACTCTTAATATTTTGATGTCTGAACTTCGAGTCTTTTTTTTAATATTTAGCATATTGCATATGTTACAGAATGGAATTATATTTTCCATACTTTTGTAACCGTTTTACTTCCTTTAATAATATTTTGTGACTCTCTGCCTCATGTGCTTCTGCGACTTCCATTTTTAAGAGACCCTTGGATTCCAGCAAATCACTATATCATAATCTAATTTAAAAAAAGACCTGTTGGGAAACTTTTATTCTTAGTATTTTCATTATTATAAACAAGCCGTCTTATAAGTAACTCTTATTGTAAGTCTATGATGATTTCTTGAGGATAAATGTCTGGAAGTGGAATTCTTACATAAAATAGAATGCAAGTTTTAAAGTTTTTTGCTATGAATTGCCAAATTGTTCTCCAAAAAAGCTGTGTTAATTTACTAAAATTCCATACAGATCATTAGTTTTTTTTTTTTAAAGAAGCACTTCTTTGCGATTAGACTTTTTAAAGGAGACATATGTCTATGTAAGATTTAAAAATTCAGAATGTAAATAGTGATAACAGGTCCCAAATACAGTTAACTGATTTTAGGTAGATTCCATCAGGGCTAACCATTTTTCAGTTTCAAGTAAGTTGTGATGGGTGCTCAGTTTTAATCTTTGGATGATATCAGACATTAGGAATTTGAAATTGTGAGGGTGAGGGAAGAAATTGCAAAGTGTTTTCCATTAACAATCCTTCTAGATATTAGCATTTGGTTAAACCAAGCACTTAAAGGAGTTCGGGATCGCCATGGGAACTCAATAGAAAATGCTCATCTTCTTACTTTGTTCCATCGGCTCTGCAAACTCTTATTTTTTCGAATTCGTCCTATTTTTGTGTTTGATGGGGATGCTCCACTATTGAAGAAGCAGACTCTGGTAAGAGTCATCTATTTTTTTCTTTATGCATTCTTAGAAAGAAGGAAAAGTTCACATAAAATTTAAATTTTCTCCTTAGAATTTTGGAAATCAAGACTTAACTTCGACATATATCTAGTTTAATTCAACTTTTAAAAATTTATCTTGAACAAACACTTTTCTTTTAAAAGAGGTTTGTTTCTGAAAGTATATCACAGGTGCAATAATATTTAACTTTTAATAAAACTACTAAAGTTACAATAGAGAGTTTTCCCCTAAGACAATAGAGTGTCTTCTTAGGTGTTCTACAGTTAAACTTACACAACGTTATATGGCAATTTATCTCAGTTAAAAAAGAGGAAATGGAAAGAATGTTTTGATATTTCTGCCTTGTATTAAACTGTAAGCACCGAGACTATTCCATTTTTCCCTGTTTTGGACATTTCTTACAAGATATTTCTATACATTTTAGGATTTCTTATGACATAATCTTGGATGTGGAAGGACAGAGTTACATACCAGTAATGTATTTTTATAAAAACTAATATCAGGAATTGGTTTTGGCTTAACAGTGGCATTTTAAAGAAGAAATTAATTAATATAATAATCCCTTTAGGGAAGCATTTACTTACTTGTATATCAAGTTTTAGGCTACTTAAGGACAATAAAGGATGTTTAAAAGAAATTGAAAGTAAATTAATAGCTTCCCAAATATATTGTGTGATAGCCAGCCCATTAAGTACTCGTTAGTTGGAAACTCTGGGTGTCCTTTCCACAGCAAAAACCTGAAGGTATTCACTCATACGGTAATTAGGAGAAGATACCAAAACAACCATAGTCCGAAAACTCAGACAAACCAAATTCTCTAGGGAAAAAACCCACAGAAGTGTTTTTGATATACTAATACCTTGAAATAAAATCCTGTATCCTTTCTTTTCACAGGCTAAAAGAAGGCAGAGAAAGGACTTGGCAACCAATGACTCCAAAAAAACTACCGAGAAGCTTTTGAAAACATTTTTGAAAAGACAAGTTATCAAAACTGCCTTAAAAAGCAAAAGGCAAGAGGGGAATTACATTAATTTAAAAGATTAATTTAAAATATTTGCATCAGATTCTTGTGGCTGCCTTTCCCTAATGAGAGGAATAAATGGGGTGTCCATTTGACCTAGCTGAAGTTGTGAAAACTCTCTGTTCTGTGAGAATCAGCTCTGATCACGAGAAAGGAAAGCTGCCGCGTTGCTTTTGCACATTTTACTCTCAGAACACTTTCCTTCACGCCGAGACCAGGTCCCCTCTTTCTGGAGGCTGCTCTCTTGTCCAGCAGCCCGGCAGCCAGGCTAGCAGGGGCCGAACCCATCGCCCCTGGGTTTCCCCTTTTCACCTCCTCGTCAGCGTTTGTGTGATCACTGGGGAGTATTATTGACTCTCAGAATACTGTTTCCTGTGATCTCTGTTGAAGTCTCTGTGTACTTTTCAGGGAGGAAGCACTTCCCAGTCTTACTCAAGTTCAAAGAGAAGATGACATCTATGTTTTGCCACCTTTACAAGAGGCAGAGAAAGATAGGTAAATGTTTTAACTACTTAAAAATGTTATTGCTGTATTCAGACAGATTTAAACCTTTCTATTTTATCTACATAATAAGGCATGTGGGAATTAATGCATCTGAAATACGCATTCTCGACACCTTTTAGAATATTTTTTAAGACCAAACTTTTTATTTACTACCTTTGTGTTTTGGTGGTTTGTGGCAGTTTTCTTTTTTCATTCTCTGGAGCCTGTGCTAGCACTGTTCATTTAGAATTCGTGGAGACGTGGATTCTGGTTTTTCTTACACTTCACTGACGCCAGCTGTCTCTACCTGCTTCTCAGCCGGGTGTTTTCTCTCTCACGCCATCACTAAAGTCTGCACACTACGTCTTCCCTGCTAAATCCAGTGGCTGCTTTGCATTTCTCAGCCTGATGTCTGGGACCCTCTCTGGCCACTCTTCCTCGGGCACCCCTGTGCACTCTTCCCTCCGGCTGGATGTTAGTCCTCAGCGGCTTCTTTGGTTGACGTGCAGGTGGAGGGCCAGCTTGTCCTTCCCCCACTCCTTTCCCGGGGCTCCTGTGAGGCCACACAGCTTGTGAGTTACCGCCGCGGCCATCATCGTGTCTCGAGGTTACCGTCCTGGCTTCCACACTTCTGTCTGTGTCTCCATCTCTGATCGTACCCTTCTGGGGGAACCCCTCCCTGCCAAGCCCAGTGTCTGGCTGGTAGTGTAGAACCTGCTAAGCCCAAATCTGATGTTGTCATTTCCTCGCTTAAAGTACTTCCTAGATTCTTCCTTCTCTAGGATAAAACTTCAACCCCTTAATCAGGCAGTGTAACTGCAGGAGATTTCACAAAGCTCCTGGGGTGAAGTGACCCCTAATTGCAGCTTCGGCAACCTGCTCTGCCCTGGTGATGGGAGATATTAGGTCATGTTACAATCGCTCGCTTACAGGTGTCCCCATCACACTGTGAGACTGAGGCCGTCTTACTGTTGCAGCTCCCGTAACTAGCAGCACGTTGCACTCAAGAAATATTTTTGTAAGTAGTCACTAAATCATAGATATTATAAACGTGTGTTTGACTTTCAGTTCAGAAGAGGAGGATGAAAAAGAATGGCAAGAGAGAATGAATCAAAAACAAGCACTACAGGTATTTAAATAATTTTTGAATTCAGGATTTATTCTATTTGAAATGAATAACATGCAAATGAATAATTTTAATGAGGTAGTATGGATTTATGAATGTTCTTGGTAAAAAATACAAAAACCTTCTTTACTGTGTGTATATATGTGTGCATGTGAATGTACATACATACAAAATATACACAGACTCATAAACATATGTGTGGAATTATGCCTATCTAGATATCCACAATAAGCCATCTTTCTTTTACAACCAACCAATAAATAAATAGAAATAACAATAAATGCTTGTATAAAAATACGGGAAGCCTATCACCTATGAATAACTTCTAGTAACATTTTGCTGTATATTAGTACCCCTCCCGCCCCCGTGTAGTTGAATACCTGTGTGTGTGTGTGTGTGTGTGTGTGTGTGTGTGTGTGTGTGTGTATGTGTATGTGTATCAAGGGTATGTGTGTATGTATATATTTATGAAGATGTATGCTCATGCACAGGCCGTGGTGACCTATTGCTGCATAACTTAGTGCTGTGAAAACAGTCTTTTATCATCATCATCTTCTCTGTTCTGGGGCTTGATGAGCTCAGCGAGGCAGTTCCCTCTCAGCGTCTCCCGTGTAGGTGCAGTCAGACGGTAGCTGGGGCTGGAGCCCCTCAAAGACCTCCTCCCCCACGTGCCTGGCAACTGTCATTACCTGTCAGCCAGAACCCCTGCCTGTGGCCTCTCCGTGTGGCCTGAGCTCTGGCACAGCTTGCCGCTGTGTTCCGGGGCAGGAGCCCAAGAGGCAGTGCCAGCAGAGCCCGCGCTGCCCTTTCTGGCCAGCTGTGGGAGGTGCACAGCCTTCCTTCCATGGCGCTCTGTTCACTGGCAGCTGGTTAGGGCCAGCCCCCACTTAATGGGAGGGGAGCTAGGCGAGAAGTGGGTCAGAGAACCGTGCACAGGTTGCAGAGCCACCACCACGCATATTTTAATGCACAACTTGCTTACAAGTTGAGGTTGTGCTGCATATACCAGTTTTTGAAATTTTTTCCACATTTCTCAGAAGAGCAGGTAACATTCTTTGATTCCCAAACTCACCATTTCTTGTATGTTCATGTTATTCTGGTATGTCTGGTAGAAGACTTTAGAGCTGAAACTGCAAGATTCTTCAGCTTGTGAAGGTCCTGCATTATTAATGCAGCAAGTGAGCACAGTCTTGGTGAAGACCGTGGACCCTGTGGGCAGAAATACTTGCAGTTAAGTCCAGGCTCTACAGCTCACTAGCTGTGAGATCTTAGACAAATCAACTTCTCCAAGGCTTTATTTCCTTTTTTTTTTTAAACAATAATATTGATGCTTTCCTCGTAGGGACGATGGGAGCATTCCTGAGGGAAAACATGGGAAGCTCTGAGCGAAATGACTGGCCTGTCCTAAGTGCTTGCTGGTTTACACACACACAACATGCATACATACAAGAGAGCAAATTGTATTATTTTATCTTTACTAATGACTACTTTTGATTTTAGGTTAAGAGCAAGACAGAACTTATCTAACCAAGGGGACTGTAAATATTGTTCAAATTCATAAGGCTTATCTCTGCCTCAGGGTCTTTGCACTTGCTGTTCCCTCAGCCTGAGATGCTCTGTCCCAGAGCAGGTTTTTGGTTGTCTTTTGTGTCCCTGCTTGCAGGTCATTATTCCTAGTGGGGTCCTCTCTATAAGATAATGTTTTTTCTCTTTCTGTTCTTCTAATTAACTCTCCTATCAGATTAACCTGCATTGTTTTCTCATTGTTATCTTGTTCATTTATTTTTTTATCATGTGTCTTCTTCTGCTCCTAAGAGTAGGGACCTTAGCTGACATGATCTCTGTAGTTCCTTAGCACCTAGAACAGTGCCTGCCAAGTATTTTTTTTCTTTTGAATGAATGAATGAGTAAATGGATACATTCCCTAATCAGCCTATTCACTTTGATGCCTATCGCAGATAATGTACAACTGTGTTTAACCTATTGTAGAATATGCAGGACTCTGTTTATGATACAAGCACCGAAAAATATCTGTCATGGTGAATAGAATTAAGTGTATAAAGTGTAAATTTCATGGTGTTACGTTTTACTCTTTACAGGAGGAGTTATTTCAGAATCCTCATGCAGTAGATATTGAGTCTGAAGACTTTAGCAGCCTGCCCCCTGAAATAAAGCATGAAATCTTGACTGATATGAAAGAATTTACCAAGCGAAGAAGAACATTATTTGAAGCAATGCCAGAGGTAAACTATACAACCGCGCATTAATGCTTAGAATTAAGAATATCAGCAAAATTTTTCATTAGAAAAAGAAAATTGATAAGCATTACTTATACAATATACGTTTACAGTAAATGTCATTTGTGTATCTCCGAGATACTATGAAACATGCATTTATAAGTTTGAACTTATAAATACTTACTCAGGGAAGCTTTTCTTGACTTTCCACCAAGACCAGGTCTTGTCTCCTGCTCTGTGTTCTCACAGCACCCTGTAGTGTCTCTTTAGATTTTTAGCACCCAAATGTGCCTACCTTGCTCACCTCTGTATTTTTAACACTCAGCTCAGTATCTTTCACAATAGTAAGTGCCTAGTGTACGCTTAGTGGTTCAATTCTTAGGTTAGTTCATAAAAGTTATTTTAACCCATAATATACATTGTAGAATATTAACATATTTTGATACCAAAAATATGAAAAAGGCAGGAGCTGTTTCTTTTCCCATCACTCCTATCTGCTTTTCCACAAAGAACGTGAACATAGGAAAATGCTAAGATGTACAGAAATGATATTCAAAGGACAGAAGTAAATTTATTTTTGTTTCAGGGGAAACATCCAGGTTCAGACTATCCATCCAGCATTTTGTTTCTTGAGTGTAAATGGATCTCTGGCTGGTCTTTGAGGAAATAGAATTTGGATTATGTAAACAACAGTGGGAAGGATGGGAGAAAGAGAGGCAGTCCTGATGGTTTGCTCCATTTTTTCTCTTTCTGCCACCACAGAGCCTCTGGGATGGGTAGGCCAGGGTAGGATGGTGCACAGCTCGTTGGATCCGTCCTTCTGGTAGCTAAGGGAAGTTCTAAGTCATACAGACTGGACCTTTGCATTGTCTGAACATTGGGCAAATGCAAAATTGGTAATAGTAGTATTGGTAAGTAATAAGAGTAATAATCTTAATAGTAATAGGAGCAATTTAGTATAAGGCTTGGCAACCTGCTTTTTTGGTTTTTTTAAAATAAATTTATTATTTTATTTATTTGTTTTTGGCTGCGCTGGGTCTTCGTTGCTGCATGCGAGCTTTCTCTAGTTGAGGCGAGCAGGGGCTACTCTTCGTTGTGGTGCGCACGCTTCTCACTGCGGTGGCTTCTCTTGTTGTGGAACACGGGCTCTAGGCACGCGGGCTTCAGTAGTTGTGGACCGTGGGCTTAGTAGTTGTGGCTCACGGGCTCTAGAGCACAGGCTCAGTAGTTGTGACGCACAGGCTTAGTTGCTCCGCGGCATGTGGGATCTTCCCAGACCAGGGCTCAAACCTGTGTCCCCTGCACTGGCAGGCGGATTCTTAAACACTGTGCCACCAGGGAAGCCCTGGTAGCTTGCTTTTGACCCCAGATCTACCACTTACTAGCCATGCAGCTCTAGAGAGGTTACTCAAGCTGTTTAAGTCTCAGTTTCTTCATTTGTGGAATGGAGATAATGACGTCTGTCTCATCGGTGGTTGAGAATAAAATGGGATGATATATTTAAAAACACTTAGAAGAATGTCTTACTCAGGAAGTGCTTTATAAATGTTAAGTATTACTAATAACTGTGATTGCAGTGATTTCTTGTGTGTCTTTTATGGACCAGGAACTGTGCTGGGCACTTTACTTGCATTCTAAAAGATTGTCTGTTAAGCCAGAATCAACATGTCACAGTGCCTGGCATGCATCACATGCTCAGTAAATGTTTTTTGAGTAAATGATGGAATCATAAACAGTATCCATGATTTCCTTTCTTTTGCCCAATTCTTTTTGTTTGAAAGATTATCCTTTAACAAAGCAATTATAGCTTTTTCCTACTATTCAAATTTTACTTTTCTAGTATGAAAGTACCACCAATGGAAAAAATCACTTGTTCTTTATCCCCTTTGGGGGAAAAGGATGGAAATATGAGAATACTATCTGTATTTAATATAAGATAAATTTTATTTATTTATTTTGCCTTAGGAGTCCAATGACTTTTCACAGTACCAGCTCAAAGGCTTGCTTAAAAAAAACTATCTAAACCAACACATAGAAAATGTCCAAAAGGAAATGAATCAGCAACATTCAGGACAAATCCAAAGGCAATATGAAGATGAAGGAGGCTTTTTGAAGGAGGTAGAGTCAAGGAGGGTGGTCTCTGAAGATACTTCACATTACATCTTGATTAAAGGTATCAGGTACCATCACTTATTTGACGGTTAAAAACCAAAAATATGTCATGTCTCTGAATTCTATAAGCTACCACCCCCAGATAATATGAATGAAGTCCTACTTAATTTATTGACTATAATTATTATTAATGCAATAATAAATGTATATAGCTTTTAATGTATTAAGTAGTATCATACCAACCCACTTTAAAATTAACTAACAAATTAACTCTTAGTTGCTGATTAAATGAGAATTTATAAATTCATTTATGAGAACCGGTATGCTCTTATTCATCTAACTAGAAGCATGTTGTCACACTGTAAAGCTACATAGTGAGAATATTTAATTTTTCTCAAGGTATTCAAGCTAAGAAAGTTGCAGAAGTGGATTCAGAGTCTCTTCCTTCATGCAGTGAAATGCACAGCAGGTCTTCTGACATGAAGTCATCTCCGTGTGAAAAGCTGGAGCCAAAGGAAGAGCCTGACGCCTCCCCTCCTTCCCCGAGAACCTTACTGGCCCTGCAGGCGGCCCTGCTGGGCAGCAGCTCAGAAGATGAGCTGGAGAGTGAGACCCGCAGGCTGCACCATGTGAGGTGCGCGCCCGCCACCGCACGTGCGGGCTCTGTGTCGCCGCTGACTCTCTTGGCCATGCAGAGAGCTCTCGATGACGATGATGAAGACGTGAAAGTGCGTGCCAGGAGCGACCTGCAGACAGGAGGGGCAGGCGCGAGAAAACCGAAACCGCTCCAGAGCAGTTCTGACGAGGAGACTGAGGACGGACCTAAAATGAGAGATGGGGAAGGAGTGCCGTTGGCAGCAGCATCTCACGCAGCCAGTGTGAACCTCGCAGAGGAGCCTGTAACCAGCGCTGATGCCGACAAAGAGCGGACAGAATCGGCTCACTTACCGAGGACTGTCTTTTGTCAAGGCAGCGACTCTAGCGTTCCAAAAGAGCAGATGTTGTTTATTCCCCTGGTGGAGGAAGCCTTTCAGACAAACGATGAGACTGCACTTAAGGATGGAAAAGATCCAGTTCCTTTGGAAAACACTGTGGTGCTACCCAGGGATGCACCTGGGCTCCAGAGCGGACCAGAGTGGACACCGACACCTCCGACAAGTCCGAGTTCCGTATCAAGGAGTGGAACGTATACCAAAGTGCTTGAGCTACAGCAAGGTCTTCCACCTGAGAGTAAATATGACACCTCTGTTCTTTCAAGTGATGATGAAACAGAATCTGAAAAGAACCCTGCTCCTGAAGGCACCGTCAGTTTGCAAGAATCGAGTGATACGCTAAGTGTCCCTTTAGAGACAATAAGTGACTTAGGAAATGTGGCATCTGTTAATGCCAAAGAGCATGAGAATTTCTTGAAAACCATCCAAGAACATGAGACCATTGAATCTGCAGGCCAGGGTTTAATTTCAGTTCCAGCTTCCATGGAACCAAAGGAAACAGGCTCTGAAGAAAGTGAATCTGATGGTAAGTGCTTGTGCTCTTTTAGAGATAAAGAAAAGTAGGATCTCGCATCTGCAGGAACCGAGAGATTCTTTAGTGTCGTCCAGATCCACATTGTTCAGGTGGTGAACTAGAGGTCCAGAAAGGACAAGTGACTTTGCCAAGGACACACAGCTAGTAATGGAATCTTGACCTTTGCTGTTTGGCTGCTCTTTTCATTTTTGTTTTTAAAGGGAGGGAGTGCCCTAGTTGGAGAAGGTAAAGGTGAGTTTCCCTTTAATTTTTTTTTTATTTTGAAATAATTACAAATTTTAAAAAGTTGAAAAAGTATCTTAAAACATTCTATTTCCCTCACCTAGGACCTCAGTGGCTGGCATTTTACCACATTGGCTTTATCATATCTCTCTCTCTGTCTCTCTCGCTTTCTATATGTACACATGTATATTATATGTCTATATCTGTGTACGCTTATGTACAGTCAATCCTCATTTTTCACAGATTTCAAATCTGCAAAATTGCCTACTCACTAAAATTTATATCTAACCCCAGAATCAGTCCTCACGGTAGTGTCTTTGTGGTCGTTTGTGGACATGTGTAGAACAGCCAGAAACTTGAGTTGCCAAGCTGTTCCCAGGTGAGGTTGAGCCAGGGGGACACTTGGCCTTCTTGGTTCAGCTCCCCTGCAGAGGTGACCAGAGGGTGGAGACGGGAGAGAGCAGTGCAGTGTAGACCAAGAAGCTCTGGCTCTGGGGCCATTGGATGGGGTTTGAACCCCAACCCTGCCTGGCACCTGTTTGTGGGGTTCTGTATACACCCATGAGCTCACGCTCGTATCTGCAGTTCTTCTCCAGCATCCCAGATCTCATTCTACACTCTGCCTTCTTTATAATTTCCCTGTCTAACAGTGAGGGACCTTCTGTTATCTTCAATGTATTTACTTACTTGCTCATTCTCTGTTTGTAACCAGCTCCCGATATCACTGGCCTCCTCCTTGGTCCTGGCTGTCCCCTTGATCCCAGCCCCTCCGTCCTGAGTGTGTCCTCAGATCCAGACTCCTCCCCCTGAAGTGAAGGAAGGGAATCAATAAATGCTTTTCAAAGAGAAGAAAGGACATCAAGAGAGGAAGGAAGGAGGTGGGAGAGGAAGAGCTGTTTCTTCTGTGTCCTTATCCAGGGTTCTCTCTTCTGTGTCACAGTGTTATTCTTTGCTGTGTTCATAGTGAAATAGCATACAAACATTTTTTAAAAACTCCATGATTGTGTACATACCCTGGTAGTTCTTTTTGAATTTCAAAACAATATTAGTTAACTTAGAGGACATTTTTTTTTTCTTTTTTTTTTGCGATACGCGGGCCTCTCACTGTTGTGGCCTCTCCCGTTGCGGAGCACAAGCTCTGGACGCGCAGGCTCAGTGGCCGTGGCTCACGGGCCTAGCTGCTCCGCGGCATGTGGGATCTTCCCGGACCGGGGCACAAACCCGCGTCCCCTGCTTCGGCAGGCGGACTCTCAACCACTGCGCCACCAGGGAAGCCCTAGAGGAAGTTTTTGTATAAAGCAAATATGCAAATGTTTGAGAGCGTGGTCCCTAATTTCAAAGACAGTGCCAGTGTATCTAATTGAAAAGGCTTATTTTGAAGTTACAGGCACTTATTAATAAATTTATTTAATAACAATATACTACTGTTACATGTTTTCTATGACATTTAAATCTCTTCTTTTTAGGGTAAAACATTTTTCACGATACTTTGGAAAGCTCTTGATGATTTCAGGGTAATTTAAATGTTTTAGTTATAGACAAAATGATCTTATTATTTTGGTACAGGAAGTTTCATTGAAGTGCAGAGTATAAATAGCAGCGATGAACTTCAAGCTGAGTTACACGAAGCTTCCAGACCTCCCTCTGAACAAGGTGAAGAGGAACCAGTAGGAACTGAGACGCAGGAAGCCACAGGTGACCCCCAGGGCCTCCCGAGAGACAACTCTGAGAGGGAGGCCGTGGGCACTGAGCCACCTGAAGAAAAAGATGCAGACGATTTGCTCAACGAATGGCAAGATGTTGACCTGGTAATAACGTGACATCATGTTTTTACTCATTGCTGAGGAAGCCAAGTTAAGTAGCTTCTGAGTTTTTAAGGAGCTGATGAAGGAAGACATAATAGCTCTTTGCACCCATTTTCTTACTCCTGCTGACATGGCTCCTTTTTTGTGGAGGTTCCTGGCCGGGATAGTGTCCACTTCCCGTGTGGGTTAGTGAGGGAACTCTAAAGCTATTATAAACTCGCTCAGAAATCCAAGTGGAAACCTGCATAAGGAGAAAAAGCTTGTTGGTAACTTCAGTCAGACTAAATACAGGCTTTTTATAACCAATGAACTTAATTGGGTTATTAATATAATTACCTACAAGCGAAATTATCTTATAGGAGGAGCTGGAGACGCTGGAGAGCAACCTTTTAACACAGCAGGAGTCACTGAAAGCTCAAAAACAGCAGCAAGAACGGGTCGCGGCTACTGTGACAGGACAGATGTTCCAGGAAAGCCAGGTAGGTGGACAGCTTGAGTGTCCTCGAACAATACCTACCGACTTCTTTCCTTAATCAGACTCCCGGAGGGCACATGCATTAAATTACCTGTTGAAGCACTGCTCCCACTTCCGGGTGGAGGCCAGGTCCTGCACTTCAGCAGGGGTCATCGTGTGTCTGTACCTCTTCAGGAACTTCTTCGCCTGTTCGGCATCCCCTACGTCGAGGCTCCCATGGAAGCAGAAGCTCAGTGCGCCATCCTGGATCTGACTGATCAAACTTCCGGAACGATCACTGATGACAGTGACATTTGGCTGTTCGGAGCACGGCATGTCTATAAAAACTTTTTTAATAAAAACAAGTTTGTAGAATATTACCAGTATGTGGACTTTCACAACCAATTAGGTAAGACTTCAGAGTACGATTGCTTTCTGAAATTTACCTTCAGAATTTTGTAGTATGAATTCTTTCTTTCCAAGGAGCTAATTTGGTGCATTAATGGAAATGGTAGATCTTTACAAGTTTTCATATAAACGATCTTTTGCTTCTGTAGCAGAATACGATTTTTAATTTGGAGCTAAGAAATTAAAACCCTAGTAATGTTCAGACATTTTCTGCGGTTTTAATCATCAGGCCTGGTTACGCTCTGACTGGTTACCTGAGCTGTCCATAGTAAACCACAGGTGGTAGAGTGGGGAGACAGGTGGGGGTCACTCCTGCTGGAATCATGAGCCTCATGGTCCTTGTTGTTTCTGGCAGTGATCCTTCATCCTCCCGTTGATTCAGCAAATACACACTGAGCGATTCCTATATGCCAGTTGTTGTTCTTGGCAATGGGAAGTGGGGAAACAGCAGAGAATAAAACAGTCTAGCAGGAGAAACAGATGGTAAAAAAAATACATAAATTGTAATTTGACAGTGGTATGAGCCATATAGAAAAACAGCAGTAAAAGAGAGGCAAGAATGACCTGCAGTCGCAGGAAGTGCGTGTCCTTTGTGGTCAGAAAAGGCTTTACTAATAGGCACCTTTTGGGCTGGAGCCTAAAGTAGAGAGGAAGCACGTGCTATGGATACCGTGGGGATGAGCATGTCAGACAAAAGGACTGGCATGTGCAAAGGCTCTGAGACAGAAGCCTGCTTGGTGTGTTCTAGGGAGGCATGGAGATACTTACGGGCTGAATTGTGTCTCCCCCAAATTCATGTGTCGTAGTCCTAAACTCTGGTACCGCAGAGTATGACTGTGTTTGAAGATAGGTTCTTTAAAGAGGTGACTAAGGTCAGATGAGGTCATTAGGGTGAACCCTAATCCAGTCCGACTGGTGTCCTTGTAAGAAGGAGAGATTAGGACACAGAGGGAAGACCACGTGCAGACACGTGGAGAGCCGGCCGTCTGCCAGCCAAGGAGAGAGGCTCAGAAGGGACCAACCGTGCCGACACCGTGAGGTCAGGCTTCTAGTCCCCAGAACTGTGGGGAAATGAATCCTTTGTGTAAGGCTCTCAGTCTGAGCACTTTGTTATGGCAGGCCCAGGAAACGACTTCAGGGGCCAGAGTGAGTGAATGAGGAGAAGGATGGCAAGAGGTGAGGTCAGAGAGGAAGGAGGAGAGTCCAGAGTGTGGTGGAGAGGCTCTGCGGGTAGACTGGGCTGGGACGTGAGAGGAGGAGAAGTCAGGGATGACACCCCCTCTCCCCCACAGCAGTGCAGGAGTGGACTGGCCTTGGTGAGGTGGCGGAACGGGGAAGGAGCGGGTGTGGGTGTTCCGGGAGTGAAGACCCGGGTCTGGACGTGTTGTCTCTGAGGTGCCCATTAGACATCTCCACGGAGATGTTAAGGTGCCAGTTAAGTCTGTGTGACTGTCGTTCAGAGGAGAGGTCCCGGTGAGAGCGCCGAATTTGGGGGTCAGAGGTTATGTGGCATTTAAAACTGCAAGGATGCGTGAAACTTGAAAAATCCAAGCACAATGCCATTAAAAAAAAAGGAATCTAGGGCTTCCCTGGTGGCGCAGTGGTTGGGAGTCTGCCTGCCAATGCAGGGGACGCGGGTTCGTGCCCCGGTCTGGGAAGGTCCCACATGCCGCGGAGCGGCTGGGCCCGTGAGCCATGGCCACTGAGCCTGCGCGTCCGGAGCCTGTGCTCCGCAACGGGAGAGGCCACAACAGTGAGAGGCCCGCGTACCGCAAAAAAAAAAAGAAAAAAAAGGAATCTATTTCAAATAGCGAAAGAGAGATACCTTTGGGTATTGGATAAGGATATATACATGTATATTATCTATATAATGAAGTGTTTATAAATGTTATGTAATAAATGTTTATAAAATAAAAAGTGGAAAAATATATAATAATTTTTACTCTTATAGGATTGGACCGGAACAAATTAATAAATTTGGCCTATTTGCTTGGAAGTGATTATACGGAAGGAATACCAACTGTAGGTTGTGTTACAGCCATGGAAATTCTCAATGAATTCCCTGGACATGGCCTGGAACCTCTCCTAAGATTCTCGTAAGTCCTTTCTTAATTTCTTTAATTCAGGTGTTTATATATAAATACCCAAATTAAACAGAACTATTCCTTACATCGTGGACTGTCACAAATCATTGTCCCCTGAGAAAACAGGAGGTGGTAATGGTTGGGGTTACTAAAGTTTGTTTTCCCTTTTCTAGAGTTTGATGAAATCATAGGCATTTATTTTTAGAGGTGCCAGGCTTATCCGAGTTTGAGGATACATAGCCAGTCCAGTGGGAATTCCTGGGAGTGTAGAGGTTACCATTTCATTCATTCAAATATTTCCTGAGCAGCTACTATGTGCTAGACAGTGTGCTAGGCTGGAGTAGGGGAGGTGACTGAGCCCCAGGCTGTGTCCTCAAGGAGCTGTCACACCCTGGGGGCGAGGGAGAAGCATCCACATGCTTGTACTGCTGTGTGCCGAGTGTTCTGAGGGAGGTCGACCAGACAGGGGCATGGAGCTATATGCCAGAAACGTTTTCTCTCTGTGTGTAGACTGTGATGTATTCAGTGGTGGCGTCTCCTTCTGTCCGGAACCCAGAGTCTTGCTGTACTCGGGGTACACTCTTTGTTTTTGGAGATTCTGAGATGGAGCTAGTTACAAAGTTGTCTGTGAAAGTAGTTCTTTCTTAAGGTTGCTCCTTGGTGGCATTTTTCAAAAATATATATATAATTCGCACAGCATAAATTTTACTCTTTTAAAGTACAATTCAGTGGTTTTTCGTCTAGTCACAGGTTGTGATGGCATCTTTTAAAATCATCAGTTTGACATGGGATACTATTTGGCAGTAGCTGATTTAATGATTCTTTAGTGTTCTCTCCAGTCGTAGCTCCTGGTTTCAAAAATTTCGGGATGTTCTGGTCTGAAGATTCAGTGATTAGAATTAAATACAAAGTTGTTTGAATGATTGCTGTTCTCCAGCCTTAGCACACACAGGGTTGTATTTTATTTTTTGTTTTCGTCATCTCTCTTTTCATAATTTTCTTATTGTTGAGGAAATGTATATAGTGGAGGTACGTTGTTAGGTTGCTTGTAAGTCATGGTATGTAAATAACTTGCAAAAGTACAAGTAACTTTTATACAAATAACAAACACACATTAGAAAAATGACAAAATATGAATTATAAAGATTACAGATAACATTTTGGTTTATACAGTGTTAGTCTTTTCTTTGCACAATATACGCATGCATTTTATATATAATCACACACACGTACAAGTATACTCATAAGTCTGTTATTATTATTATTTTTTTACAAGCATGGGACGATGCTGTATACTTTTTGTGTTACCTGCAACTCATTTGGTGATAGAACAGGGCATATTATCAATGAAGTATAGATTTACATTGCTGTTTTTAATGACTCCATAGGAGTCTTTTGATGTATCATGAATAACTAATTTAATCAAATGCCTACTGTTATTTCTGGTTTTTTTAAAGTCTAAACAAATACTGCCTTGAGTGACTTTATATACATGTCTTTGAGTTCTTATCTGATTATTATTTTAGGATAAGTGAAAATGGTATCTAACTTTTCGACTTGGTGTCCTGGTTATTGGTGAGAGTAATTTTTTTTCATGTTTGTTGAGTTTGCCATGCTGATCTAGTGAATGCCTGTTTATGCCGTTTTTCTTCTCTCAACAGTTTTTGCTCGTTTGTTGCTGTTTGAATGGTTACGTTTTTAGTCAGCTCTAGCAATTTCTGCCTTGGTTTTTTAGCTCGCTGATGGCAGATAGGAGCTGCCCCTGCCTACCTGGCTCTGCAGGGCTAGGACAGGTGCAGTTACAGGGCACGGAGACAGTGGAAGAGCAGTAAGACTGGGAGTGTCTGTCGCCTTGCTTTCTTCTCTGCTCTCCCTTTTCCTAACCAGACCCTGGCCGGCCGGCCCCCCTTTAAAGCAGAGCAGCTCTGAGTCTGCAGGCTGAGTTCAGCCCAGCTGTGTTTGCTTTGGCCTGCACAGTATGTTCTTTAATTTTGAGTGGGCTACCAACATTTAAATTGGGGGAGATTTCACAGAAAATTTTGGATTTTCCTGGGGGGAAATGACATCTGAAAATACTGAGCCCCAATTCCCAAATAGCCCAGAAACAGAGGACAGCAATTCCACCCCACTGGCTTGGTCAGGGCACAAACCCTTCCACTTTATCACAGTCGCTGCTGCCCCATCTTGTGTCCCCCGAGCTCAGCTGATGGGCAGATGCCGTCTTCCACCCTCAAGTGCCTGGCCCTCTTGCTTGAAGGAGGGGTGGTCCTTTTGGTTTGACGAGCTTACAGTGTGTTGTGCTGGCAATCATGAGTACTATTTCAAAGATGAAGATTCACAAGAGAGTACGGGAGAATTGTAGGTGTTCTCCCAGCGCCCTCTTGAACAGTATTTTAAAACTGATGAAGATAGATCCTTTTTTCCTTTCTGCATTTTGATCCTGCACGAAGACTGAAGTTAGAACACCAGATGGCACTCCTGCCTTGGTGAGGTGCGGCACTGGTGGAGACCACGCCTGTGAGTCAGGTCCTCAGACCAATGAGTACGTGAAGCAGCAGATGTAGGGTTTTTTAGGTTCCGTTAGTGCGTAGATGGGAGAGGGTTATATTTATGTTTTTAACTTTTACGCCATTTATTTATCCCAATTGGGTAAATTTTTCTGGTTGTCCGTTGCCATATTACAAACTACCGTAAACCTCAGTGACTTCAAACAGCAACAGTCAGAGATTTTGCTCGTGAATCCGCAGTTCAATCAGGCTGCGCGGGGTGGGGCTGCCTCGCCTGGTGCCAGTTGTGTCGGGGGCATCTCAACTGGGCTAGAGGGGCCCCGTGAGGTGTCTCGCTCGTGGCTGGCGAGCGGTGCTGTCGGCCAGCACGTGGCCCGGGGCGCCTGGACCCTCTCCATCTGGGCCTCCTCACGAGCTGGAGCTTCCTCACAGCATGTTGGCTGCTTGCAAGGCGAATATTCTAAGAGACAGGAAGTGGAAGCTGCAGTCTTTAAAGGCCTGGCACAATGTCCCTTCCTCAGCCACGGAGCCTGCCCGACTCAAGGGTAAGGGACATGGACCCCAACACTTCTTGTTGGGAGGAGGGTCCAAGAATGGGCTTTAACCCACCATAGTGATTTATACTCACAAAGGAAAAATTGAAAAAGGAATAAAACATCAAGAAAATTAACAGCTGTATCCTTGCTTAGAACATTGCCTAGCACACGGTAAAATAACTGTTGTTAGTGTTTTTTATTATTTTAAATATCCCTGTTTACTTTTTCTTTCTTTCTCCACATATATACATTTTTTTCCCCCAGTATTGGGATCACACTTGATGTAGAGTTATATTCTGCATTTTAAAAATTTAACATCTTCTTGGCATTTTTACATTTCATTAAATATTCTTGGTTCCTGATTATAGTTGACTGGAGGTAAATAATATGGATACGTTGATATTACTTCATTTTACCACTGGGAAGGAGAGGAACTGTGACTTTTCTATGAGTGGGCTCTGGAGGGAGATTGTACCAGTCCCAGCTGTGAAATCTTGAGCAAGTGGCTTCTGTTTGAGTCCAGTTTCCTTGTCTGTGAGGTGAGGACAGTGGCAGGACTGTGCTCGTGTGATGACGGGGCCTGTAGAGCAGTTAACACAGTGCCAAGCCCAGAGGAAGGGGTCAGTCAGTGATTGCCTCATTGTATACTGTGTTCATAACACGAGAAAGACACCATTGTCATTCTGTAAGTCATAGGCTTTGTTCTGGAGTTGGGTGGGACTTGAGTTCACGTCTCTGAACTTTACGTTTAGCCCTTTGTCTGTGGTGCATCTGCCATAAGGTCTTACTGCCTCACGAAGGTTCGTTTCCTTTGCCTTGTAGCGAGTGGTGGCATGGAGCTCAAAAGAATAAGAAGATAAGACCTAATCCTTATGACACCAAAGTGAAAAAAAAGTTACGCAAGTTGCAGCTCACGCCTGGCTTCCCTAACCCGGCCGTGGCAGACGCTTACCTCAAGCCTGTGGTGGATGAGTCCAAGGGGTCGTTTCTGTGGGGCAAACCCGATCTCGAGAAGATTAGAGAATATCCTTTCCCTTCCTCAAACCTCAGGAATATCAAGTCAAATATGTGTTTTGGTTTAAAACTTACGGGACATGAACTTGGATCCGTTTTTTTTTTTAAATATTCCGTCAGCTAAGATGCTCCTTTCTGTTCCTTTCTCTCTCTCCTTAATTTTTTTTTTTGTGGTAAAATATACATAACGTACAATTTACCATCTGAACCATTTTAAACATACCATTCAGTGGTTATTAAATACATTCACATTGTTGTGTCACTGTCACCACCATTCATCCCCATATTCTTTTCATCTTGTGAAACTGAAACTCTATCCCTGTTAAACACTAACTCCCCCGTTCCCCTCCCCCAGCCCCTGGCCACCACCATTCTACTTTCTGTCCCTGTGATGTTGACTACTCTGACTATGTTCCTCATATAAGTGGAACCATACAGTTTAGGTCTTTTTGTGACTGGCTTACTTCATTTAGCATAATGTCTTCAAGTTTCATCCAAGTTGTAGCATGTGTCAGAATTTCCTTCCTTTTTAAGGCTGAATACTGTTCCATTGTATGTAATGTTGTATTTTGCTTATCCATTCATCTGTTGATGGACACTTGAGTTGCTTCCATGTTTTAGTTACTGTGAATCATCTTTTTAGTTTTAAAGAGAATCTTTATTTCAAGTAAGTAGTGATAAGCATTCATAGATACACTACATACTTAAGTATTCATTCTGAAAGAATAGAAAAGATTATTAGTTTTATTCTTTCTATTACTGTTCCTTTCTGCATATTTAAATAATCATTTGGATAGATGTTTAAAAGTTTGCCATAGTATTACTCTAACTACATCTTTTCTCAAAGAAAAAAGAAATATATGTGATATCAGAAATTAGTTTTTATTCTAGATTAACCTTTTTTCATAGTCATGAGTCTTTGATGTCCTAAAATGAGAGTTGAATATCTTTTATCTTAGAGGATATTTATAAGAACATCGTGCCAGATGATTATGTTGGAATAATTTGCTTTGTTATTCTTTTCTTTTATCATTTTAATCTTTATAAATAAGAAAATCTTTGGAGACATGGGGAATGGAATCAAGGGTGGCTTCTTTGGACCTTTTTATTTATCACTTGTTTAAATGTCTTTAAAAACATGTATGAGTCTTAACTGCCTGCATATTTTGTCAGCGGTATTTTGGCTGGAACAGGACGAAGACAGATGAATCTCTGTTTCCTGTATTAAAGCAACTGAATGTCCAGCAGGTAATCATGGCAGCTCTTTTCCTAAGTTCAGGATAGAGAGTAAAGTTAGGAAGGCTGTGAGGGCCAGCTGTTAAAGACTAGTTACTTTTATTTTAGAGCACGTAACATACATTTAAAAATTATTATACTTCAGTAAGAGAACAGAGGAAAACAGAAAACGGGAAAGCTGGACTTTGTCTTCATTTTCCACTTTCACTCTTAGGGCTGAACTTTGATATCCTTTTGTATTCACTCTGACTTTGAGGAAAACAGTCTAATAATGGATTGCATACTGAGGTGTTTATGGTTAAATATTTAACCCTTTTAGAGCTATTTTCATTTTTAAAAAGTTTAAGAAGTGCCCAGTCCAAAGCAGTTCTGATTATTAAGTGTCTTCAAGTACTAATATTCTTAAATTCTGTAAATGAATCATCAAAGGTACTAATTCAGTCATAGTGTACTGGCAGGAGAGATGACCCTCAGTTCCCTTAGGTAGGTAACAGCATCTCGCTTTATCCCTGAGTGTGTTCCTGCCCACACAGAGACCTCCTCCCACCCCAGAGGCAGCCCACAAAACATACATACAGGGAAACCATTCAGTGGAATTCAGACCAGATCCTGCAAGATACATGTTCAAGTTAAATCCTTTTCCATTAGATTAGGTTAATTTTGGAAAAACAAACAAACAAAAAACTGAGGTAGACCACCTTTCCAGAAACTTTCGTGTCGTTTGACGACTTTCTGTACTGGAAACATTGTACGCCCACCGACAAGGAAAGCTAGTTGGCATAGTAACTGATTACTCCTTAATTTCAGATAAGTTTTGTGGTAATACTGTTCTCCCTTTTCATTGTAGACGTTAATATAAGTTTATTTCCCCAAAATTAGAAAGTGAAAAAAATGAATTAACTCATTGTTTGCTTCCTCTAATATGGATGTTAACATTTATGTCCATTTTCTCTTATTTTTCCCCTCCTTCCCACATATATTTATTATCAGACATAAGTGCAATTTGTTATAAATAAAGCCCCCATTCACTGGTGAAGGTAAGTTTTTTTTCTTTGTATTGCATGGCCTTCATTGTTTCAGATGGCCAGATTACATTTTGTCAGAGAGATTTAACTTGGTTCACTTCACTTAGTAGACCTTGAATTTTCAGGTTTTCGTATGTAATGCTGTGATGAACATCAGGCATGTGACTTTTCTCAAATGTAACTATTTTTAAAGAATGTCTTCCTGAAAGTGGATTTGCTGAACAGAAGTCAAGAATATTTCTTACGACTCCTAATATATAATACTGTGAAGTTTCTTCCTGAAGGTATCATATGATGACAATGTTTTTAAAAGAAGGGAAGAGTAGAATTTAGAAACAGACCCCATGAAGTTGTGTTGCTCTAAAAGAAGATGATATATTTGGCCCCTAAAAAATATTTAACTCTCTTTCAATGCCGAGGAAAGGATTTCCTACTTGATATGTGGGCGGAGGTCTTAGTTGATGGAGGTGGTACATGTACTGCCTTAAGTACGATCTTGAAAGTAAAATTTGCTGCCAGTCATTCATTTGGGGGAGATCGGCTTTTGAGAGAGAATGAATTAGTATTTTCTGAAAGAGTCATCCAATGCCAGTAATCAGGGTGGATTTCTTTGATTTGCTTTAGAAAGTTTACTTACCTGTCTGAGTTATTATTATTTTATTTCATTTTTTTAGACGCAGCTCCGAATTGATTCTTTCTTTAGATTAGCTCAACAGGAGAAACAGGAGGCTAAGGGTATTAAGAGCCAGAGACTTAACAGAGCTGTGACATGTATGCTGAGAAAAGAAAGAGAAGAAGCAGCCAGTGAAATAGAAGCAGTTTCTGTTGCCATGGAGAAAGACTCTGAGTTCCTCAATAAGGCAGAAGGAAAAACCCAGAAGAGAGGCACAACAAATAGATGGAAAGAGTCATCCAGCCCGAAAAGAAAGAGGCTTTTGGATTCTAAACGGGGGCATGAATGTGGTGGGTTTTTGGGGGAGGCCTACCTCTCGCAGTCATCTGATGCCTCTTCAAGTGAGGATGAGGAATATTTCCCTGTAGCGAACATGCAAAGGGGAAAAGCAACTGTAGAGTCAAGAGTCAGCTCTTCAGGTGCACAGAGCACAGTGCAGCCTGCTCCCAGGAGAGACGGAGGTGCCACCACAAGCAGCTCCAGCGATGATGACAGAGAGAAGGCAGAGCCCGTCCTGGTGACCGCCAGGTCTGTGTTTGGGAAGAAAGAGGGGAAACGGAGAAGTACGAGAGGAAGGAAGAGGAGAATGTAAAGACACCTAAATACACATGTATTCTCTCTAACTGGGTACAGCTTAACATTTCGTCATGAATTTGTTGTGAGGAAATAATAAAATTCAGAGTATTTGCACAGTCTTTGTTGTGTGGTTTTTAAAAATGCGGACGTTAAACTCGACCTTTATTTTTAAATATATTACCTTTTTCTAGTGTTTTCCACTTCATTGAATATTTCCTTGTATTTACAGGCTTTGTCTGTTCATGTTTCTATTATTATTATTATTTTTATTTTTTTTGCGGTACACGGGCCTCTCAGTGCTGTGGCCTCTCCCCTTGCGGAGCACAGGCTCCGGGCACGCAGGCTCAGCAGCCATGGCTCATGGGCCCAGCCGCTCTGCAGCATGTGGGATCTTCCCGGACCGGGGCACGAACCCGCGTCCCCTGCATCGGCAGGCAGACTCTCAACCACTGCGCCACCAGGGAAGCCTCATGTTTCTATTATTATACAACATCTGATGCTTTCTGACAACATTAAAAAGGGAAAAAGGATTTCTGTTGATCAGTACTCACTCAATGTGCGTTTCCTCTGACTTTCCGACCTAGACGAGAAGAAAATATATTTATATTCATCTTATTTATATAAATATATTTATATTCATTTATATTTACATTTCAGTCCAACTTCTCAAATACTTGGACTACAGCTGCTGCTTTTCTTTGCTCGTTATTTATTCCTTCCTAATTTGAAATGTCTTCTGCTTCAGTCTTCTCTGACAGCTTTCTACTAAAATCAACACTGACTTCCACATAAACTCAAGTCTTTTCTTAATGCTTCTTTTCTCTGGAGGTATTTAAAGCAGAACGCTTTTGGGGAAGGGTTGGGGAGAGAGACATTAACTTTTTCTTATTATTCTCATTTCTCAAAGCTACTTATAATTGGGAGTTTTCTGCATATGTGTTTGTAGGTAGAAAAGCAGTAGTTTTTCTAAAATTTAATTTTGTTGCCTTTCATAGGTAATTGACATTTGTCCTGCACTGCAGTAGCTGGGGTGAAGGCTAAGCTGCTGTAGCAAAGAGATGTTCACATGCAGTGGCCTAAACGCTGGAACGTTACCTCTCAGTCAACAGTCTGGCCAGTCTGAGCTGGTAAGGCAGTTGTGCACCTTGATGTCATTCAGGGTCCCAGGTTCAGCCATCCCCTAGGCTGCTGTACTGCTTCAGTGGTCTATACCGGGTCACGGCTACATTTGCGTTTCAACCTGCTGGAAGAGGAAAGAACCACAGTCCTTGGGTGAGCCGAATGTCTTATGTTAAAGGTGACTAGAAAAATCACTTCTGCTCCCATCCTGTTGAACTGAACTGACCATATACTAGGAGCACTCAGCAAAGTAATCTCTACATGGGCTGTGTATCCAGAAAGAGAGGAAAAATAGATATTTGGATCCGTTAATAGAAGACCTAGATATGTTTGCAAAAAAGCCTGTTTACTCGTCTGTACGCTAATAAAGATAGAAGTCTGGAAAAAAATCATTAGTAGCTTATGCCATAAGTACAGTATTTACAGAACAGTTTGATACTATACCTTTTTTTTCGCTTAACCCTGCAACCAAGGTATATCCTTTTACAAGGGAAGAAACAAGTTTACAGATGTTAACTGACTTTACCAAATTCACCCAACTAGTAGGAAACAATTGTGACCTGAACTCTAATCTTCTAATTCAAAATTCAGGGTGCTTATATTACCTAGAAAATAGGTTGCCTGTTAAAGACAAACAGCAGCAAAGCAAATTTATCATTATTCAAAGTAAGTGGGACACCTGTAACTTACTTAGGATGGTGACCATCATATACTTTTTCTATAAAATTATCTTTCAGCTTATTAATCTTTTCTTTTGCTTTCTTTATATTTGCTGTTATACTCATCTGTGGAGCTCTTTATTTCATTTATTCTATTTTCAGTTCTATTTGACTTACAGATTCCAGTTCTCTGGTGTAATTCTTGTCATCTATTTTTTATAATAATCACAATTACTTTAAAGTCTGTGTCAAAAAGCTCCAATATCTGGGTTATGTGTGGGTTTGTTTCCTAGTAGTTGACTAGTAAATTTTGAATGAATGCTGGACGTTACGTATAGAAGATTGTGGATCTTGTGCCTCTTCCTCTGGAGAGGATTCCAGAAGGTATTCTGGCAGGCAGCAGAGGGGAACGTTATTTTACTTCAATCAGGACCGAGTGGATGCAAGTCTAGTCTTTGTAAGACTCCATCTCCTAGTTTCCTCCCATTCCTAAAAAGTAGTTTTCCAGGGATACTGTCTGCTGGGGTGTTTCTCTCGTCTTTTGAGCTTTGCTCTGTTTTTAGCCACATTATGCTTGGAAAATTAGCATCTTGCCCTAAACATCTTACTGTGCAAATACCTTGAATGAAAAGTCAGTGCTGAGTGTCAGGCTTACTTCTCTGTCCCTTCTTTCTGGGATCTTGGGCTCCCAATTCCTGGCAGCCTCGCCAGCTCCAAACACTATTCCCTTGTCTCCCTAGTTCCCTTGTCTCCCTAGCTAAAGCTCTGCTGGTGTCCTTTCTTGTGTTCCTCTCTTGGGCTTCTCAGCCCCTTTACACCAATAATCAGCAAAAGCATGGAATTCTTGGCTGCCTTGGAAGCTGTCTGATGCCTTGTAACAGGTGTGTGTGTGTGTGTGTGTGTGTGTGTGTGTGTAAGTAAAATGTGCTTTTCTAGTTATACTGGGAGGCAGAAGTCTCTGTGTACTTCTTTTTAACCGTTCAATGAAACAAATAATCATTGCCATCATGTCGGTTTAGATGATTCATTTAGATATTCTGCCTCCTAGGGAATCCAGCACTGAGGTTTCTTGATCTTTTAAATAACTTGTGGGAGGAGACAGGTGGTTTTTATGTTCCAAATAATTCTTAATTCTTGTTTTAAAAAGACCCAAAAAAGGGAGTGTGTCCTCTGCCCAGAATTAGCTGCCTATGAATAATTGTTTTCATCATTTAGGATTTTGCAGTTTCCAGGATGTTTTTTACCTACCATATTCATTTCACAAATAGATGTTATGTACCTTTTATGTCTCTGCTTTATAGATGAGGAAGCCAAGAAACACACTGAGTCAATGCCTAAAAATCACAGGCTAATTATTGACAGGAATGACTAAAATCAGGCTCCCAGACCACTAGTCCTGTCTGATACATTAACGTGACCTCCGTCCATCATGGTATGTGAAGTATTTCCTAGAAGCTGTACCCACACTCCTAAGTTTAACTTTACAATATTGCTCAATTTCATTACCTGTAATAACTTCTTATTCAGGCTATTTTCAGTGATCGGGGGAATTAATTTGTACTCTGAGATGCAGCCCTAAATGCACATGAGCAGGTGCACAGGCGACATACACCCTCAGCCTTCCTATTCACTCTGAGTAGGAAGGAACTGTGGAAATATAATTCCTGCGTCCAGATCACTGCTGCACACACACTCTCAAACATTCTGGTGTGGTTGTCTTATTCTAAAAATAGTGTTTGCACCCAGACAGATGACCTGAAAAACACATGGCCTCCGTTTCACAGGACGTTATAGCTGTGGACTCTTAAATAACTCCTGGCATCAAAGTTAAAAATAATCGCTTTGCCCCGATAGCCTTCACTCACTTGCAGGAATGTTTTTACTTACCTGTTGGCTCTTGCTCTGTTCACGAGACACTCACGTGGAATGTGCCTACTTACATTTTTCAACCCCCTTATTTAGGGGCGTTCCAGCCTCACTGCTGTATGACCAGAGGCTGTGAAGCTGCAGCTGTCAGGGTTAGTTCTCTGTGAGGACTCGCTGTCAGTGTGTACAGTAGTAAACTGCATGCTTTGGTGCTCGCCTTTCAGGCACCATCAGAGGTCTCATCAGCAAAGCAAAAGTTGTGGATGATACTTTTTAACCTTCTAGAAACTCAGCTAACTCATATATATAGGTATGTCCAGACTTAACATTTAATAAATGTTGACCTTCAGGTAGGCATGTGTCATAAAGCCTGCTTTCTTTAATGGAAGAGAAACTAAATTGGGAACAAAATGGGTGACCACTTGGGCTACTGTTTAGCCATGTAACCTTTGATTTTTCTCGTTTGTAAACTGTAGGGAAAATAATTTGTCTCCTAATTTACTGAGCATATTGTAAAGAAAAACGTGTTGATTATGAAATGTGTTTTGGGAGCCTTAGAAGAAAGGAATGAATATAAATTCATGGTAGTACAGTGATTATTAAATGATTCAAAACCTGATACCTAGAACGTCAAATTGTTGTTTTCCAAAGTTGGAATTACAGCTTGTTTAAGCTTATTCACATGATATGCTCTGCTTGAGAGGCATAAAATACTTGAATTTCTTTAATTTTAAATGTGTTTGCTGAGATTGTATGGATTTCTCTTTAAAGAAGAAGCTACTTAAAAAAACCATCTGGTGGTTGGGCTCTTTGCCCCTGGGTACATGCTGATGACCACGGATGAGAGGGACTCTGCATCTATTACTATGTAGGAAGCTTTGTTTTAGATTAATGCTATGGTTTTCACTACACTGAATGAAACCCATTCTCTCCCAATGTTTTAATCGCCTCTTAAGTTTTAGGATCGCTCTCTGACTAGTCAGTATAAAGATGATGCCTTGCTTCATGATAGCTGAGGTGGTCTCTGGTGAAGAACATGTTTTCTTTTTCCAGGAGCTTCTAAAATTTCTGACCCTGAATTTTGGTTGTACTAGATAGATTGCATTTCAGTGCACTCTTTTTAAAATCATGATTTATTAATAAGATATTTTAATATAATTTTCTCTGCTGTATTTGATGTTAAACTTTATTAGGTAAATATGAAAGCACTTAACACACATTTTGAATTAATTATTACCATTTGATATTTTAATGTATTATTTGCCTAGTTTTCAAGAAATGATCAAGAAAGCATCAATATATAGCCATCCCTTAGTTCATCGCTTAATGGATCTCAAAGCTAAAAAAGGTAAATTATTTTATGTTTCTTTATGTAATTTGGCCAATTCTAAGAAGAGAAACAACAGAATGTAAATGTTTACCTTTGCAGTGTTTGCTGATGTCATAAAGAGAGCTAGGACTTTTATCAATTGCATATTATATCTTATATGCATACTATATAATAAGCCATATTATACCTTGGCTTGTGTTTGCTAACCTGTAACTATCTCTAGTAATGTTTAATGTCCCCTGCTATACCTGTGGGCCTGATGATATGTTAGAGATAATTTGGACAGATAATAAATCAAATATATAGACTTGCTAGGTATTTAGAGTTTTTATTTTTTTAATCTGGAAAAGTGGAATAAATTTTTCCCCAAGTGCTGTACACTAAATATATGATTGTGATTTTGTGGTTATTTCTTTTCAGATAGGAAGATTGCAAGAGAGATAAAATAGTTTTATGTAAAACTAAAGATTTTTTACAAATGCTTCCATGAAAAATGATTTTAGGCTATAAAATATTTCTAGACTGTGCTTATGGTCCCTCTGATGTATTAATTAGAGGCAAATAATAATGTATTTTGACCTCTTGTGGTAAGGAGAATTTAAGGTTGAATTCTACCACCAGTGGAATTATTTGGAATTAACCCACTGTTTTTTACATCATCCTAAACATCAAGTATGACTTTGCATAGATTACGTAATATATCCCCACTGTCTTGAGATAAAAAGTGCAGACATATGCTCTTGACATAGACTAGAAGAATTATTACCATGGTTTTGTAGCACAGTTGTAGTACAAATTTAATTATCCTGACTTCTTTCTCTTTCTCCTTTACACTGTGGATATTTTCTAAGGACTAGAGTCCTGTTTTCTTCGCCTTTTTTAGGCATACCAGGTGGCCTCTACCTAGGTGAGCATGTCTTTAGGCCAAGAGAGCTGGGTGTATGCCCAGTGTTGGCAGCCTATGTAGCTTAAACATGTACGGTTTTGCTGTAGTAATTTTTGCAAATCTAAACATTTAAAGTCATAATCACTTAGAGAATCCAGCCATTTAGATGATTTGAATGAAGATGCAGTTTCTCTGCAGTTTATGAATAAAATGTCATCATTATCATTACCATAATGCTTGGTTTCAACTTTGCATATGATAATTCGGCAAATTACAAAGGCCATGGAAGAAGTTCAAGGTAAGGTGGAGACAGAACTAACAAGAAAATAGTTTACAACATGAACAGACACAGCCCATAATCACCTACATTGTCAGCTGAAGCTTTAAAAATACATTCATAGGCACAGTGCTAAGGGGATGAAGTGTGTGCCACTGGGACAGAGTCAGATTGCATTTTGTTGGAAAGGCTCCCACTAACCAGTAGAACACTCAGTTCTCAAGTACTGTAGGGTAGTGACTTTTCCTGTCCTAACTGTTTATACTTAGTCATCTTGTGCTTGGAAAGGATGGAGCAAACCCACAGCCCAGTTCTTGTATTTCAACACTGGCCTGAAGATCCAAAGAATTATAGGATGTCACTTAGTTATGTACAGATTAAAGTTAGGACTGTAGTGGATGCTAAAAATTCCTCTGTCTATGGTTTCTAATGTTGCATTATAATCTAAACTGTCTAAAACCTCATCCACGTTAACTATTCCGAATCTCTCAGGTTGCCTACTCTTGCCAACGGTGGCTCTCCGGCTGTTAGCACAAGTAGCAGTGTGTTATAAAGGACACTCCTCAGGGTCTGTAGCCTTGGAACAGGTTCGTACTAACCAGAGGCGCAGTGATTCCCATGCAGTGATTCCCAGATCTGTCCTTCCAGCTGCTTACTTGACGTCCTCCATTCTGCCTTGTGTTAGTTAGGAAGCAGATGCCAGAATGGGATTTAACATGCGCGAGATTTATTGGAGGAAATGTCTGTGGAGGGTAAAGGAGGAAGGAGCAGAAGTAGGCCGGGAGAGCCTTCGCATCACTGCAAGTCCAGGTGAGCAGAGGCTGCATCACAGCTCTGAGAAGGTCTTGGGCAGGCCCACAGGGAGCCACCCCACAGAAGCTGCCCCCTGGACAAGCATCCTCTGCAGCGGGAGAGGGGCCGGCTTAGGGGCAGCCCGGGGGAAGCCTGGCCTCCGAGGAGCCAGGTGAACCTGCTGCAGCACGTTCTCTTAATCCAAGCAGCACACCTCTGTAGCCAGCATGCCAGATGGCAGATCCAGATGCATTAAAAAATAATTTTGCTTTTGCAGATTTGCCCCTCCGCCTGTATTTTCTCTCTCAGTTTATGGCAACGTCATTTCTCCAGCTACCCCGAAACCTGGAATCATGCCAGTCTTTCCCCTTTCCCCACACCCGTCACCATCACATCCCGTTGATCTTTACCTCCTAATATGTTTCTGTACCCCTCACCCCCTGTTTGCAGCATCATCTTGCTTATTTCTTCTCTTGACTGTTGTAACTGCCTTCTAACTGGCCTCCCCAACCCTGGGCTGGCTCCCTTTCTTTATCCACAGATACATGATCTTTTTAAAAATTAACATCTTGTCACATTCTCCTCCTCCCTAAAATTCTTCAGTGCCTCAGTGTTTCCTATAGGATAAAATCGAGACTTCTTAGCATGACACACAGTGTTTTATCTCATGCTATGACCACCACTTATCCTATATTCGAGTTCTCAGAGTTTCCCAAATTGGAAAATTGGTCAAGAGTCTTTTGCCAGTGGGCTTCTGCACATGTAGATGCCTACGTACGGCGTATCTTGCCTTCTCTTATCTGACTTACAAACCCATAGTCATCAAGGCTCAGGTCATTCTTTGCTGAGCTCTCTGAGGCATGGAGCTTTCTCTTTCTGTTTTTGAGTTAACTAGTTAAGTCTCTATTCGACCACTTATATGTTGCTCTATCTTTGTATTCACAGTGCCCATGTACTCAGTAAATGAGGGAACGAATGAATTAGCTATAACTGAGGCCTAATGGCTGGACTTCAAATCTGCTCATTAGGGATGATCTTGTATTTCCAGCCACTAGTCAGTTGACTCTTTTCAGGACCAGGTACAATGTATTACTTAGGGATAGCACTAAGTCTTTCACAAGGATCTTCATAAATCTTTACAGAGTTGGATTAATGGAAAATATGGCCTTTATAAGCAACATTGCCTCAATAGAGGAAGAAGGAAGTTTGAGTAATTCTATTGCTGCTTAAGAAACATACCAAACTAGAGTCTTGAGTTAATATATTAATATACTAGTTGGAGTACTATAGCCGCATAATTACTAATGTGAAAATCATCCATTGACACGTTTTACATGTTTAAAAAGTAACCTGAATAAGTATCTGCTAGATAAGACTAATAAATGTTCCACGTATTGAATAAAAATAATTCAAACATGATTATCTGCCTCAGATATCTTCAAAACTCAGGGCTGAATGTCAAGTTTGAACGTCACTTATTGCCCTCGACAGGGCGTCTACCACTGCCTCAAGAGCTCACAAATTCACGCTTGGCTCCCAGACCCAGGGCTGCTGCCTCACTTCAGACTCTTGCATCTTTTGTCTAGATTATTACGTCTTCCCATTAGCTTCTAACGTAGCCTTAGCTGCTGCTGCCAGAAGTCAATTCTCAAATACCAATTTTGATTGTGTCAGTTCTTGTCCTAATGATTTTTATTGGCTCCTGTTCACCTTGTAGAAGAAAGGTCAACATTGCCCACAGGTCTGATCCCAGCCTGCTTTCTTCAGGCTTATTTTCTGCACCAGCTTGTACACCAGCTCCCCGGTCCTTCCAGGCTCTCAAGCTGGCCTCCACACCCTGGCAGTGTTGCATCTCCCTTGACCTTGCTTCCTTCCTTTTCTGCCTGGCAGCCTTCCCCTTCCCTCCACCTCAACTCAAATGTCTCCTCCTTGAGGATGCTTCTCCTGATTTGACCAAGCAGTGGTGCTTCCCATAGCACCTCAGAAATATTTCTTTTATTCCACTTATCACACTTCATTGACATCTGTTTAATTGTCTCTCCCTGGTACAATCCCAGCAGTAGGCTCTGAGTACAACTAGATTTGGTTCTGTTTTTTCCCACTTGCATCCTGAGCAGTGTCAGTAAAAAAATGAATTTTCTTTCTTTGGTAATTGTAGCTGTCATTTGAGCCACGTGATGAAAGTTACAGCTTCTTTTTATTCTTGAAAGTACATGGACATCCAGACAAAAAACATTTGTGAAAATGTCTCAAGAATTAGTTTCAACATAAGGGCCTGAGACCTTGACATTGCTGAGGCATTCAGAATTGTAGCTTTCAGGTTTACCTGTGACCATTCACTAATCTGAAAATACCTTTAACATCTTTAAAAAAAATTCTCTAGGTATTTCTAAGAAGCACATGACATTCATCTTTGAATAGAAGATTCGATTGAATGACAGTGTCTTTCATTTCGTTGAGGGGTTTTTACTTTAAATTTCACAGACAGTTTTCTGTGACAGCCCTCAAATGGAAGCTTGAATTCACTTGTCATAGCTATTAAAGAATTTTTTTTCTTTTCATCTATTTCTGTGATTTGACCCTTCCATTTATTATTGCTGTTATTGACCTTAAAAGTATAAAAGAGAAGAATACAGACAGAGCCTCTATTTTTGAAGGCTTCTTACAATCCAGCCTTGGAAATCAATTCACTGTCGAATTTTCCTCTTAAGAAAAATATCATCGTGAAGGGCAGAATCTTGCTAATTTTTACTTCATACTTGAAACCCCTTTAATTCTCTGGAGAACAAGAGCACCTGGTAGATTTTATTCACTATCAGCAAAGATTTAATAGCAGGAAAATGGTGTTAAGCCTTTTTATGTATAAAAAAGCATTAAAATAGATAAGCCTAAGAGAGCAACATAAATGTAATACTTTCTTGATTATGTTTTATTTACAATCTGTTTTAATATTTGTGTTCAATATTAAATTCATTAATAAAATAATACTCTAAGATTCTAGTAGATAGCTCTTATCTAATGGTATAGATATCAGAAGTTTTCTGATTTTCATGCCGGGAAACC